GAGTAACCGGGGGACCACGGTGGGGAAAGCGGCGGTAGAAGGAGACGGACTCGTCAAAGGTGACGTCGCGAGAGTGAAAGAAGCGGTGAGACGGCGGGTGGTAGAAGTGCCAGTCGGACGCGTCAAGGGGGAAACCGAGGAAGACGCAGGGGAGGGTGCGGGCAGTGAGCTTGTCCGTGCCAGAGGCACGAACGTGAGCAAGGCAGCCCCAGACGCGGAACGCAGACGCGTCACCAGGGGACCCGGTCCACAGAAGGGTCGGCGAAACCTGCGGCCGCTGGGGGTGCGGCCACAGGTTAAGCTGGTGAGCGGCGTAGCGCACGGCGAACGGCCACAGAAAATGGGGTGCACCGGCGTGGATCATGGGAGGTGCGAGCCACCTCCATGACCAAACCGATGCGTCGCTCAGCGACCCCATTCTGCTGCGGGGAGTCGGCAGGGTAAACGTCTGGGTGATGCCCTCCGCACGACAGAAGCGACCAAGGACACCTGAGGCAAACTCGCCACCCCGGTCGGAGTGGAGGCGCAAGGCAGGGAGACCGCGGTGGACACGAGCAGAGACAAGCCAGGGGATGAGAACGTCAGGCACGTCGGCCTTCCGCTCCAGGGGGAAGACGGTGGTGTAGCGCGTGAAGTCGTCGACAAGCACTAGGAAGAAGCGCTCGCGACGCGGCCCATGGACCGGGGCTGGGCCCCAGACGTCCATGTGCAGAGTCTGCAGTGGTGCGGTGGTAGGGGGAAAAGAGGAGGAGTGAGGGGCACGGCGGAGCCGGCCTCGACACAAGGCGTGCACGGTGGGGCGGGGGAGGAGGGAAACTCGGGAACGAACCGGGGAGACCAAGGACGAGACCGTGCTGGGACATGTGACGCAGACGTGGGAGTGCAGGGTGACCAAGGCGGTGGTGCCAAAGGAGAGTCGGGTGAGTGAGGGACCGACAGGAGCACGCGGCAGCAACCTGGGTGGACGCAGCTACCGGGGGGAAGACCCAGCCGGGGACGTCGCGGTGTCAAGAGTGAACAGGCCGGACACCGGGTCCCGGGGGAAAGTGGTAAGGGGGGCACCAGTGGCGGCCTCGGTACAGACAGCATACCGTCGTGACCAGGGAACGTAGTGGTGACGCCAAGGTCCTGGAGGCAGCCGACACCAACTAGGTTCCTGGAGAACGAGGGGATATGCAGACCGGTGAGCGAACCTGAAGGAACCGCTGGACAGGGAAGGGAGGTGGAACTGCGGGCAACGACGGGACCACCGGAGGGGTCAGCAAGAGTAACCGGCAGCGGGAACAGGCAGCGGCGTCAGCGTCGTGGAGTCGCGGAAGAAACACCGGGAGGCGCCAGAGTCCAAGGTGAAGGAAAGCGCAGCAGTCGCGTGAGGCGGCAGTGAAGCGGTGGAAGCACCAAGGCTAAGCAAAGCAGGAGATCCTACGCCTGACGCAGCAGGGGAGTCTACGCTAGGCACCGCTACACCTAGGCAACACGGGGTAATAAGAGGGAAGCACACTAGAGTCATCAGCCATACATCACATGCAAGGCTGCTACAATGGCATCCATGTCCAGTCAAAAATCCTAATGCTACGCCTAAGCAAGCTGTGCCAGTCCGGGAGGTCGGCGCGCCGGGCCAAAGCGCTGGCGGAACAGGTCGTCCAGACGACGAAAACAGCGAGGAGTAGAATGACCGATCTTACCGCAAACGAAGCCGCGGCGAGGACCGGTCTGGATCTGGTACTGACAGGGCCCGCCTCCAGAACCACCACCCGGTGCACCACCACGCGCACGACCACCACCAGCTCCAGGCCACCCAGGTGGGAGAGCACTCGCCGGCCTCGTCTGCGGCGGCTGCTGCGGCTGCTGCGGCTGCGGCGACTGCTGCTGCTGCAACGGTGGAGGCAGCGGGGCAGCTGGACCGGGCAGGGTCCCACGTCCGCACCGGCACCGGACGACCCGCCTCCACCACTACCCCCACCCGCACCCCCGCCGCCTCAGCCGCTCCCAACCTTGGGGCGGCGGCCCTTCGCCGAGCGGGACTGCACTGCAGCAGCAGTCTCAGCCACAGCGACAGAGCCGTCGGAGAAGGTACACTGAGCGGGGGCACAACCCTGAAAGATAGGGACCGGTACTGTACCGCTCGCCTGGGCTATGGAGCGGTGACGAGTCTCTATGGCAGTCAGGGTGTCAACAAAGTCGGTGAGGGTGAGAGCAGCAGGATGGATGCTAAGAAACAGGTCGCGGGCGGCGGCAAGGCGGTCAGGGAGGCGGGTGGCAAGGAGGTAGAGGGTGGAGGTCATGGGAGGCTGGTGGACTCTAAGCTGTGCATCAGTGCAGGCAGCGCGCCAGGCCTCATCTATCGAGCGCAGGTGGGCAGCGAGGTCAGAGACAGTGGGGAAAGACGCCAGGTCAGGAAAGAGCAGGGGGAGGATCAGGCGACCCACTGAGGCAGCAGGAGGGGTAGAATAGCGCTTGATGACAGCATCAAGGTAGGCCTGGGCGGTAGTAATGGTTCTAAAGCGAGGGCGCTCAGGGGGGGGAGGGCATTGCTAATGGCGAGCTGAGCAAGGGCATCGCGGGAAAGCCAGACAGAGCGGGCAAGGGCAGCAGCGGCAGCGGACTCGCGCTCAGCGGGCGTGGGATCAGCGGGCAGCACAGCAGGGGGGTCAGGGGCAGGGGAGCATACCGTCTAGGTGTGCAGAAAGCGGGTGGCCGTCCTGCCGCTGGCCAGTGAGGTGGCGGCGAAGGTCAGCCAACCACGCCTCGAACTCCAGAGGCTGACCCTCAGCATCAAAACGAAGCTCAGCAGCCATGAGGGGCAGTGGAGGACAGTGCAGTGCAATGCAGTGCGGTGCAGTGCGGGTGCAGTACGGTCCAGTGCGATGCAGTGCGGGCGGTGCGGTCCAGTGAGGTGCAATGCGGTGCAAGGCGGGGCAGGAAAGTTGAAGGAGGGTGCAAAGTGGTGCGGGAAACGGGGGACAGTACCAGGAAGTATGGAGGGCCGGGGGGCGCAGGGGCGCGACAGGGGGCCGGGGCAGGGTCAGCGCGGCAAGGGCCGCGGCGGCCAGGCGCGTCGACGGGGCCGGGGCGGCAGGCACGACAGCACCGAGGCCGGCGGCGGACGGCCGGGCGGCTGCGACGGGCCGGGCGGCGCGACGCGGCCGGCGCGCAACTGCGACGGGGCCGGGCGGCTGCGACGGGGCCGGGCGGCTGCGACGGGACGGGGCCGGGCAGGACACAGCAGGGGCCGGGCAGGGGCGACGGGGCCGAGCGGCTGCGACGGGGCCGGGCGGCAGCGACAAGGTCGGGCGGCAGGGACGGGGCCCGGGCAGGACACAGCAGGGCCGGGCAGGGGCGACGGGGGCCGGGCGGGCGAGCAGGGCCGGGCAGGGCGACAGGGGCCGGGCAGCCGCGACAGGGGCCGGGCGGGGCGCCACGTGGCCGAGAGGCCGCGACGGGGCCGAGCAGGGGCGACGGGGCCGAGCAGGGGCGACGGGGCCGAGCAGGGGCGACAGGGCCAGGAGGGGCTCGACGGGGCCCAGGAGGGTAGCTACGGCCCAGGAGGGGCGCTACGGGCCCAGGAGGGCGCTACGAGCCCAGGAGGGGCGCTACGGGCCCTGGTAGGGGCGCGAGGGGGGGCCTGGGAGGGGCGCGACGGGGCGTGGCGGGGCGCTACAAAGCCCAGGTAGGGGCGCGACGGGCCTGGGGGAGCGCAATGGGGCCCAGGAGGGGCGCTACCGGGGCCTGGGAGGAGCGCGACTGGGCTAGGGAGGGGCGCGACGGGGCCTGGGAGGAGCGCAATGGGGCCCAGGAGGGGCGCTACGGGGCCTGGGAGGAGCGCGACGGGGCCCTGGAGGGGCGCTACCAGGCCCTGGAAGGGGCGCGACGGGGCCTGGAGGGGCGCTACGAAGCCCTGGAAGGGGCGCGACGGGGCCTGGAGGGGCGCTACGAAGCGCTGGAAGGGGCGCGACGGGGCCTGGGAGGAGCGCAATTGGGCCCAGGAGGGGCGCTACGAGGCCTGGAGGAGCGCGACGGGGCCCTGGAGGGGCGCTACGGGGCCCAGAAAGGGGCGCAACGGGCCCAGGAAGGGGCGCGACGGGGCTAGGGAGGGTCGCGACGGGGCGAGGGAGGGTCGCGACGGGGCTAGGAGCACGACGGGGCCCAGCTAGGGGGCGAGCGGAAGCGTGAGGGGGGGGGGGATCCTACCTACGCGTGATACCATATCAAACAGTGAAATTGATAATTGAGAGGAAGAGAGTACACAAACATATACCTAACAGTTGTACTCTCTAGAAGATGACCCTATACAGTCTATACAAGCATGATAACTAAACATGTTTGACAGATAGGAGCAAGGCCGCCATGGAACAGCGCTAGGAAAAACGGATCTAGGAGTAGGAGGAAAGTCGAGAAGAAAGAGTGATGGATTAGGAAGAGAAGGGAGTACAAGGAGGGGTTTGTACCCCTACAGAAAGGTTCAGTAGCAACCTACCAAGCCTATATAAAATTATAACTTATATAATTTAACATTATTTCCCTTGTATCTCACCTTTCTAGTCATTCGTTAACTTTGATAGGGTTGCCGTGCAGCTCTGTCACGAAATACAAATTGGTACCCAAATGTGGCCTCTTGGCGAGCCACGTGTATTTTGTCGCCTTGCTGTTTCCTTCCTAGATATGGGTGCTTCGTGCCAATTTACGAACCACACGTTGCAGGTCTGCCGGGCCACGACCGTGTGCTCTAAGCTAGCTTTATCCATGCTCCCTGCTGTTTCGATGTTGCCTCAGTTGTATGGTTTCCTCATTACTCAATCCTTCGACACACTCTTGGAGCTTCATTACACATGCTGAGAGTTGCCAAATTGGAAAAAGCTAAGTCATTTCACTGAAGAGTAAGGAAGGAAACCGGTTTGAACCGGAAATCAAAGAGAGAAACCTTCCATGGAGGACACACGCCCACCGCACATCGTGAGCCACTCCACCCCAACCCCGCATGGCTGGCGTGTGCATGTTCTGACAGCGGTGCCTTGCGCACGCGCACGATTGGCTAGCTGGGTGCACGCGACTCAGCTCAGCACCAGCGCAGCGAGCCGACCATCCGTGCGACGCGATGCCCCTCCGACGCGCTCCTCGCGCCAAGCAAGCAAGCGAGCATCCATCTTGCCTCGAGTTGAGCTCGCGTCGATCTTGCTTCATTCTTTGGTCCTTTCCGTCCTGTTCCTCCACTCGCGGCTTGTTCGCGTCGCAGCCTACCTCCCCCAGTCCACACCCACTTAGCTCGTTTCTTGTTGCTTTATCCCGTGGGCCCAGCACATATATAATCCACTACCCCTTGGACCTCGCCGTGTATCGAAGAGAGAGAGAGAGAGAAAGAAAACAGTAGAAAATGCCTGAGTCACCTGAATATACTCCATCCTCACAAGCCTTGTGTCCCCAATGACAACACCTTCTGACAAACGGGTTGCCGTCGCTCCTCTCCTCTTCACCCTCCTCTCTTTCTCCTCCCCTTCCCCTACGCCACCGGCCCTCGTGTCGCCGGAGCCGTGCCCTATGTGGGTCGCTGCGCGGTCTTCCCCCGCAACAACGCATGGAACATCCGCGTCGACGGCCTGCCCGTGCATCCGCGCTCCGCCGCGTACGTGCGCTCCATCGGCCTCAACGACTACACGCACCCCGACTTCGGCTCAGGTCAGCCGCCTTTGGCGAGGCTTTGGCGAGATTCTCGGGATTCAGACGGCTTTGGCGAGGTTCCGGCGCCGTCTGAGTGCGCGTTTGGTAGGCGTACTTACGCAGCTACGACATGCGGACGGTGGGTATGCAAGCCCAATCCCACCATCCGAGGAGAGTCCTCCTCTCCTCCCCCACTCTCCCCCTCCCTCTCCCCCCCCCCCCGTGTCGATCTAACTCCCCCGTTAGCCTCCCCTCACCTCCTCCCAATCCCTCCCTCCCCCCAAAACTCCTCTTCCCCTCGCCCCGACCCCTTCTCTCAGGCCTATGGGACGGCGGGCCCATCGGCATCCCGTTCAACATGGTCACCAAGGCCACGCGCCGCGTGTTCCCGTCCTTCTACTATGGCGACGAGAGCGAGCGCGGGCCGTACCCCGTGCCGCGGCGCGGCGTGAAGGTGGAGTGGGGGTCGGACCACCATGTGCTGGCGGTGGATAGGGACACGTGCACGCTGTACGAGATCTACGACTTCTCCATGGATGGGACCGGCCGAGGTGAGATCCGGGGGAGGGGTGGGGGAAAATGGGGAGGGGGGGAGAGGGGGAGGGTAGGGGTAGGAACAGAAGGGTGGTGGTCGGTTTGTGAGAGATTCCAGAAACAGCGGCCTGGGAGATAGTCTGATCATCGGATTGCCATGTGCTGCTGGTAGATAGGAACACACGCACGCTGTATGGCATCTAGTTCACCATAGATGGTACCGGACGAGGTGAGAACGGGGGGGGGGGGGGGGAACGGTGGAAGGAATGGGGGGAGCGAAAGGGGGAGGAGAGGAGGGGGTACGGGGGGAGTGGGGGGAGAGGGAGGGGCAGAGAGAGAGAGATGAGAGTGGCAAAGGTAAGACTGATGTGGGATTCTTGGCAGGCACAAGGCAATAGAAGGGTAGCAGGCAGCAGGGCCAGCACCTGTGCTGCGCTGTGCGGCTGCCCATCGTTAGCGCCATCATCATCATCCTGCCAGCTCGTATATTTTCCAACCCCACCTCCCCCTCATCCACCCACAACGTCAGGTTCCGCTCCCGTTACCCTCCCATTCCCCCCCCCCCCAACCCCCCCTTTCTGGTGTCTGCTGAGAGCACAGCCATATGGAACACCAAGGAACTACCCCTCGTTCTCAGCTCTCAAGCCCCTTCCCATCACACCCCTCACGACTCGTCCCCTCCTCGTCCCCCCCGCCATGGCCCTCGTGCCACCACTGGCAGTGTCGGCCGGCAGTGGCGCCATCTGGAATCTGACATCCAACAAGCTCAGGCCCGCTGGATGGACGTCTGCTGATGCTGCTGGGCTGCCGGTGAGAGCGGTGGAGGGTGGTGGGCGAGTGAGGGGAGTATGAGGGGGGAGTGGCTGTGTGAGGGGGGAGTGGCTGTGTGGAGGGTCATGGTTGACTGGTTGCTGCCCCTCTCAAGAGGAAATGCTCGTGACTGTCTGTCCCGCACTCCATATTTACAAACTTTCCCCCCTCCCTTCCCTGTATGCAAACTCTTCCTCCTACCTTTCTCTCTCCCCAAACCCATCCCTCCTTCCCTGCTCTCTCCTCCTCTGCTGATGTTTCTGGCGTCTGCATCTCCCCTCTCTGCCCTTTGTCCCCTGCTTCCTCCTCATCTGCAGATGCTGCCGGGTTTGGCACGCTATGGCGAGATGCAGGCGGGGGCGATAAAGCACGCGCTGCGCTTCACAGCGGCGGCCACGCAGAAGAAGTTCGTGTGGCCCGCCAGGCACTTCGCCAGCGACTCCACCGACCCCAACCTGCCGCCCATGGGCCTGCGCCTGCGCCTCAAGAAGGTGCGCCGGCCTGGTGCCTCTTGCCTGCTTGTGCACACACAAAACACTGCTTCATGCACATGTGTCCGTGTGCGCTCGCACATAATCATGGGCACGCGCACACGCATGCATGCACGTACGCACACACACACACACATGCGAACAGCACACACAAACATTTGCGTATGCATGTGCACCAGGCCGTGCACGTGCACGCACACACACATCTTCAACTTGCTCAACCTCTCTTATCATACCACATACCCCTGAAACCCGTAACCTCCACAACCCCCCCTCCTCCTCCCCTTCCCCCACGCCTGCCATAATCTCCCGTCCCCTCCGCTCTCTCCCCCTTCCCATCGACTCTCCCCTTCCAGAGCTTTGACATCTCCAGCTTCCCAAAGCAGACCCAAGTGATCCTGCAGGCACTGAAGACATACGGCATGATGCTGGCAGACAACGGCGCGCCCTGGTTCATCTCGGGCGCGCCGCATGCGGGGTGGGACAACGACGACCTGCACTCGCTGCACCGCGTGCTGGGGAAGAACTACGAGGTGGTGGACATGAGCTCCGTGCGCAAGTACTAGCTGCTAGGCTGCTGCATGCTGCCTACTCATGGGAGCCAGGCGGGAGGAGAGGGGTAGGGGAGGGAGATGAATCGGAACAAAGGACATGACCGCCAACGGAACAACTAGGCGGTGACTCAGCTCCGTGCGCACGTAGTAGCTGCTGCCTGTTGCCTGCTGCCTGCTGCCTGCTGATGGGGGGCGGACAGGGAACAAAGCACACGACCACCGATGGAACTACTTGGTGGCGGGCATGAGCAAGTGCTAGTAGCTGCTTGGGGTGGCACATGGTGGAGGGGGAGGGGGGGGGAAGAGGGGAGGGATGAAGGGATGGCATTGAGGGGGTGCCTCGAAGGAACTAGGTACGAGGTCGTGGACATGAGCTCCGTATCTCCCAAGTACTTGCTGTTGCTGGGGAAGAGGGGGAAAAGGGGGGGAGTGGGGGTGGGTGGGCAGCGGCGGGAGGCGAGCTCAGGACACTGAGTGGACAATCTTTTATCAGAATTGGGATGTTACAAACAATCCAGGGAGGTGGCAGAATTACGGACCTACGGAACGTATGGGAGTGACAGGGATGGGATGGGCATGGGCCCTTCTTATCAGTTTGTGGTAAATTGTATATAATCTGTTGGCTAATACCGGGACATATAGTAGCCAGCGTATGTGGTTGCAGGCGTGTTTTATCATCAGATCGGAAATCCACTGGAGTGCCTAGGAGCGTGGCTACCACGTAGGTTGGGAAGGCTGTTCCATCCCACGAATTTCGGGAAGTACCGCGGGACACATTTTGCCAGAGGCCGAGTTCATTTTCGGCTGTTAGTGTCAACTTCTACATATATTGTCATGTAGAAGTTATAGGCTAGATAGGGTATGTTCTTAGTGGGTACAATCCAAACGCTATATCTCCCCTGTTCTCCCTTGTTCTAATCATTCTTTCTAGTCTTAACATGGTATCACGAGTTGGTAGGTCCACCCACCCGGTTCCGTCCCGTGCCGCCACCTACCGTCCCTCGCTAGACCTAGCCGGGCCCGTCGCGCCCCTACCGGCCCCTCACGCCCCTAACTGGCCCCGCGCGCCCCTACGGCCCCGTCGTGCCCCTAGCAGGCCCCGCGCGCCCCTACGGCCCCGTTGCGCCCCTAGCCGGCCCCGTCGCGCCCCTAGCCGGCCCCGTCGTGCACCTACGGCCCCGTCGCGCCCCTACGACCCTGTCGCGCCCCTACGGCCCCGTAGCGCCCCTAGCCGGCCCCGTCGCGCCCCTACGGCCCTGTCGCACCCCTACGGCCCCGTCGCGCCCCTAGCCGGCCCCGCGCGCCACTACGGCCCCTCGCGCCCCTAGCTGGCCCCGGCGCGCCCCTACCGGCCCCTCGCGCCCCTAGCCGGCCCCGTCATGCCCCTACCGGCACCTCGGGCCCCTAGCCGGCCCCTCGCGCCCCTACGGCCCCTCGCGCCCCTACCGGGCCCACGTGCCCTTGCCGGCACCGCTCGCCCTAGCCGGCCCCTTGTGCCCTAGCCGGCCCCATGCGCCCTAGCCGGCCTCGTCACCTGAGCCGCCGAGCCGCCGAGACAAGCCGCCGAGCCGTCGAGCCACCGAGCCGTCGTATCGCTGTGCCGCTGCGCCGCTGTGCCGCTGTCAAACTGTGCGATGGCGGACGCCGCTCTTCGCTTGGACGCTGAGGGGCACGCGATTGACTTCGCCGCCTGGCTCGTTGACCTCCGCCGGCACCTGGCAGGTCAGCGCCAGAATGGGCACTCCCTGGCTATGCATGTTGATGGTTTGCTCCCCCGCCCCTCTGCGCCTGATCCCTTCCCTGCTGACCCTACCACTGCTGAGAGCGAGGCTTTTGCTGCTGCTGCGCTTGCTCGAGCTGTCTGGGATTCTCGCGACGCCGTAGCACAGCTTGCCATTAGCCATGCCCTTCCCCTGTCTGAGCGTCCGCGCTTCACAGCTGTTGCGAACGCCAAGGACTTTCTCGCTGCGGTAGTTGAGCGTTACTCTACCCCTTCTTCCGCCTCTGCTGGCCGCTTGATCCTACCCATGCTCTTCCCATATCTTTCTGCTTTCCCCACTGTAGCTGACCTCGCCACTCACCTCCGTGCACTAGAGACCAGCTACCGCGCTGCTAGCTCTGCCGCCCAGCTTACCGTGTTCCCTCCACGCTTCTGCGCTACCCTGTACCTCATCGCCATGTGCCTGCCTGCCCGCTTAGGCACTGCCCACGACCACTTCCTTAGTCAGCACCCTGCCGACCTCACCTTGACCGCCTTTGTCACTACTCTGTCTGAGATAGAGACTCGCCAGCACACCATCGCTCAGTCGAGCGGTGTTACGGCAGTCCCTATATTTATGGGCTGTGCCCCCTCCTAGTGCACGTACGGTGACGTCTCCGCCGCAGTTGCCTCGACTGCGCCTGCACCTAAGACAGCAGCTGCGGCTTCCCCGCAGCAGCATCGGCACCGGGGCCGCCGTGGCGCCAAGGGAGAATGTAGAGGTGGCGCTAGTGGTGGTGGTGGCGGGGACAGTTGTTCTGACGAGGGGAGTGGTGCTGGTGCCCAGGAGCAGCAGCATTCGCCGCAGTTGCAGCCGCAGCAGTCGCAGCAGCAGAAGTAGCCGCCGTAGCAGCAACAGTCGTGGGCTCGTCTCCCGCCCGGGTGGCCAGGAGCCCCTGGCGGTGGTGGTCGTGGTGGTGGCCCTCGCAGCTCGGCGTCCACCGGCAGATTCGGTGCTGTGAGCTGCCAGTACCAGCTTCAGACCGGGCCCCTGCGTGGCACGGTGTGCCACCGATCGCACCCGACCGCCCACTGCTTCCGCCGCCTCGACGACCTCTTCCGTCGCCGCTTTGGTCTAGCCACGGACCTCCCTGACTGGCCCAGCCTGATGCGACACGGTGTGCCTGTGTTTGAATTAGACATGGATCAGATTAGTTCTGCCTTGCATTCTCTGTATGCTGACGCTTCGAGTGTTTCCGGATCGTATTACTCAGTGTTCTCTAGCTTAGGCATAGCACCTGTGTGTAGTCCAGACTCCCCTGCAGCGTCAGGCGTAGGACAGCTTGCTTTGTCTAGCCTAGGCTCTACCCTTGCTCCTCCGTTGTCTGCCACTACGGCGTCGCTGTAATTCACTTTAGACTCCAGTACGTCAGCCTGTTTCTTCCGCGACCACGCTGCCCTCACGCCGCTCGCTACACCTGCCGCTGTCGCCCTTGCAGACCCTCCTGTGGTCCTGTAGTTGCTCGCAGCTACACGACCTTTCCCTGTCCAGCGGTTCCTTCGGGTTCCCTTACAAGCCTGCACATCCCTTCGTTCTCCAGGAACTTAGTTGGTGTCGGCTGTCTTCAGGACCTCGGCATCACCACTACGTTCCCTGGTTACGAGCGGTACGCATTCTGTACCGAGGCCGCCTCAGGTGCCCCCCTTGCGACGTTTCCCCGCGACCCTATGTCTGGCCTGTTTATGCTGGACACTGCTCCCCCCTCGGCGGGCGAGTCCTCCTCTGGTCCTGTCCACTCAGGTAGCTGCGGCCTCCTTGTGTTGGTCGCTCACTCACCCGTCACTGTTGTGGCACCACCGCCTAGGTCACCCCGCGCTCCCCCGCCTGCGTCACATGTCTCAGCACGGTCTAGTCCTCGGCCTCCCTGCGCTGCTCCCTGCTCTCCCTCCCTTGCCTACGCCGCCGTGCACACCCTGCGTCGAGAAACGGCTGCGCCGTGCTCCTCACTCCTCCTCAATTCGCCCTGCCACTGCACCCCTTCAGACCCTGCACTTGGACGTATGGGGCCCAGCCCCTATCCCTGGACCGTGTCGTAAGTGCTACTTTCTTGTGCTCATTGATGACTTCACGCGCTACACCACGGTGTTTCCCCTGGAGCGGAAGGCCGACTTGCCTGACATTCTTATCCCGTGGCTTGTCACTGCGCGCCTCCACCGCGGTCTCCCTGTGCTGTGTTTCCACTCCGACCGTGGCGGCGATTTCGCCTCTGGTCGGCTGGGTCAGTTCTGTCGTGCAGAGGGTATCACCCAGACGTACACCCTACCAGACTCCCCGCAGAAGAATGGGGTCGCTGAGCGACGCATTGGTTTGGTCATGGAGGTGGCTCGTACCTCCATGATCCATGCCGGTGCACCCCATTTTCTGTGGCCGTTCGCTGTTCGCTACGCCGCTCACCTGCTTAACCTCTGGCCTCGCTCTCAGCGGCCGCAGGTTTCGCCGACCCTTCTTTGGACCGGGTTCCCTGGTGACGCGTCTGCGTTCCACGTTTGGGGTTGCCTCGCTCACGTTCGTGCCTCCGGCACGGACAAGCTTATTGCCCGCACCGTCCCTTGTGTCTTCCTCGCTTTCCCCCTTGACTCGTCTGACTATTCAGCGTTCTCACCCTATGTTGCTTCGTTCCCACGCATCTCGTCATCCCCGTTTGCCTTCGCCTCCTCCATCGTCGCTCACTCTCGCGCCTCCCCCTCTGTCTGACTACCTTCATGCTGCTCGTCCTCTTGTTCCTCGGGTCCTTGCCTCCCTCGTTACCGACCCGTCTGTTCCTGTCTCCAGTCTTGACGCTCGTGACGCTGCTGTCGCTCACTTTGCCTCTACTCACCGCCTTGACTTCGCTACCGCTCTGGTCTCTAACCTTGTCTGTCCTCCGTCCGTCGGGGGCGCTCCTGCACTCGGAAGTGATGTCTTGGAGTACCGGCGGTACGAGCTTGCTTTCCTGTCAGAGGTTGCTCCCCATCTCTGTTCCATGCTACTAGTCCTTGAGGGTAACCCCGACGCCTTTGACATCCCAACCCCTCGCACCTACGCTGAGGCGACCTCAGGACCCTAGGCCTCTCAGTGGATTGCTGCCATGGAGCAGGAGATGGCATCTTGGAGGGCTACTGGCACCTACGTCGACGCAGTTCCCCCACCAGAGGTGAACATAGTCGATGGCCGGTGACTCTTCAAGGTGAAGCGCCCCCCTGGAGAGCCACCTGTGTTCAAGGCGCGCTACGTGGCTAGAGGCTTCAGTCAGCAAGAGGGAGAGGACTTCTTTCAGACCTTCGCCTCGACCCCGAAGATGACTATTCCTCGGGCGCTGCTACACATAGCAGCACAGCGTGACTACGAGCTTCACTCCCTCGACTTCTCCACTGCTTTCCTTCAGGGCAACCTTCACGAGCAGCTCTACCTGCGCCGCCCTCAGGGCTTCATCGGTACTTTCACTCGTGGGACCCAGAGGCTCCTCCGGCGCCCCGTCTACGGCTTGCGACAGGCGCCCCGTGAGTGGCACGACACGCTGCGTGCCACGCTAGCTGACCTGCAGTTCGTTCCGTCCTCTGCTGACCCATCGCTCTTCGTTCGTGCTGGCTAGACTCCGTTCTACATCCTTGTCTACGTAGACGACCTGGTTTTTGCTACAGCAGATAGAGACGCGCTGGCCTCTGTGAAGGCTGAGTTGCTGAGGACTCACACCTGCACTGACCTGGGAGAGCTGCGCCGCTAGCTTGGCCTGCAGATCTCCAGGGACAGAGCAGCGCGCACCATCACTCTCACACAGTCACACTTGGCGCGCCAGGTCCTTCAAAGGTTCGCTCTTCAGTTCTCCTCCGCACAACCCACACCTCTGCCGGTAGACCACATGCTCTCAACTCCAATTCCCAAGGAATCAGCAGAGGCCAGTGGTCCTTACGCAGAGCTGGTGGGTTGCCTCATGTGCCTGATGACTTGCACTCGTCCAGATCTCGCATACCCTCTCAGAGTCCTGGAATGCTTTGTGGCCACAGGGAGACACCGACCATAGCACTGGTCGGCCGCTAAGAGGGTTTTGCGTTATCTTGCAAGTACATCGGGCATGGGGCTAGTGCTGGGAGGACGCAGGCCAGTGGTCCTTACTGGGCACACAGACGCTTTTGGGCAGACGACGCTGAGACCCTTAGGTCCTCCCAGGGCTA